TCGATCGCCAAGCGGTTCAGAGCGTGCTGAACTGCCTGTGTGCTGTCACCCAGCAAGGCGATGTCATCGGCATATTCCAAGTCGACAACTCTGTTCCCTGGGAGGAGTTCAACCCCACCGTTTGATAGACCGGACAAAGCGTTCTGCAAAACATCCTCTATGACAAAGTTGAAAAGGAATGGGGATACAGGGCAGCCTTGCCGACCTACACTGGAAAAGGCGAAGGGTGGCGAAAGCTGGCCATAGGCCCTAACCCAATCTGAGGTATGACGATACAACTCTTTGAGGATCGACATATACTTCTCAGGTACTCCATTCCTTAACAAACAGTTCTATAGTGGGGTCCTATCGACAGAGTCGAAGGTCGCACGACTGTCTAACAAAATAATGATCGTTGGTCTGTGGAAAGCATGACGGTTCTCTAGAAACTGTCGGAGGGTGAAGATTTGATCGATATAGCCAAGACTGGCGCGAAACCCAGCCTGCTCCTTGCGGATCTGTTCTTCACTCATTGTGTGTAGTCGGCGGAGCCTGACGGACGCAGCAGCTGTGACACCATCGGAATATGATTGTTCTCAGTCACTGCGCGGGCCCTTTTTAAGGACTGGGATGACAATCGATTCCCCCTCACGAAGTGGGACCTGCTCAGTGTTCCACACTTTAGAGAACAGAACTTGCAATTATCTAACAAGCTTTATTCCACTATCACTAAATAAAACTGGGGGAAGGCCATCAGAGCCCGGCGCTTCGTGATGGCCCAAGGCTTGGATCTCCTTATGGATTTCGGCCTCAGAAGGTGGGTCCGTTTAGACACTACGAAACGTGTGCCCGAGTAGCTGTGAGAAGCCGTTTTTCGTGACCAGCTAAATTAGGTCTCAAAATGCTCCTCCCAGCGTGCAAGACATCGCTGTCAATTATTATTCGGGGAAAGATAGAAGATGTGAAGCACAATCATTTCCTCCACCCACGGTATTCCAAACTTTACAGAGCAGAAATTGCAATTCAATAACAATCTTCAATCCACCATCTCTAGATAGAGCTGGAGA